CCAACCCAACCCAACCCAACCCAACCCAACCCAACCCAACCCAACCCGATCAACCCAACCCGACTAAGCCCAACCCTAAATCAAACCATATATTATGTATATATAAAAATGCGTGTCATGGTTCGATAAAAATATAAATAATAGAGGTCTGTTATATACACATTTTTTTTATGAAATAGTGGCAGAACAGTTATATATAATCATATACAATGTGCCTCTATATATGAAAATTAGCTCTGGACATTGTCACATTAATACTGCTCATTGCAATCTCCTGCACTTTAGATGTAGCCAATTTTGAATTTCCTGAAAAGCGGAATTTACCATGCTCTCTCAGACTGACCAATGGGCGAGGAAACTCCGAATTTAGTAGAACGCTGAAATCCAAGCTGGGACCAGTAATTCAATCGCAGCTGAAACAAAGATGAGTACCGATTTGTGAAAAGCTCCGAAATAGATACAGAACCAGAGGCGAAATCTGAATAGATCACAGAACCTACTCTGAAACCTGCACGATAAGTGAGACCTGGCGGTGCTTGTGTTACACACAGCCAGCACGATAGTTCTTGGGATTAGGTCTGAAGTCGATAATGTAGCCAATTATGTGACATGGACTGTAAGTCGCGTCTGAAGTTGAATGCCCATTGAGATTGGTAGAAGGATGACGATTTGGAGTGCAGCATAAATGAGAACCATGATGGAATACCAATCGTAATCGGAACAAAGATATATACGGCGAAGAGATGAAAGATGTGAATGCTGATGGTGACCGAGACATATACTGAAACTGAGAGTCGGGTCGATGCTGCGACCAAGAATGATTCTAGAAGAGAACTAATATTGGTACTGAGCCCAGAAATGCATTCAGTACTCGATCTTTGGTGAAATTCATGGCTACAAACACGAAAAGCTTCTTGAAGTAATATCAAAAATGAATATCTTCTTGCATATGCGGAAGGAACATTTGAGACTTGATTCAACCAGGATCATGCTATTGAGCGGTATAGTATTGCTTGTGAAATGCTAATATTTTGTTGATGCTGTGCAACGATGGCAAAAAAACCAAGTAAAGTAGTGTTATAGTACATACTTTTTCTACCTTCGATTCACGCTATTTTGCAATCTTCAAGCTGCTCGAACGATGAGTAATAGAACGAGCAGAACGACGATGATATTTTTATGGGAAAAAAACATGTGTCTCATTAATACCTATAGCATAATCAATGAT